GTCGTGGTCAGCTCTTTAAAGTATGCATAGCAAAGCTATTTTTATTGAACACAAAGCTCCCTCAGTGCTTTGTTCAGAAATTCAATTATGCGAATAGGCGAACAATATTATTTAATCAATCGCGGTGTGCTGTGCTCTGTTGCTGGTGCTGCTCCTGCTACTCCTGCTGTTGCTGGCCGTGGCAGCTGCACTGTCGCAACTCTGTGCAGCCAAAAGGTAATTCAATAAGCAAATCGCATTTCCGTTGCTAGAAAGTTGCCTTCCTTGGCATCGCATCCACTGACGGCATTTCGCGCATTTTAGCCCCGTGGCATCGGCATTGACACCTCGTCAAAAGTTTGCACTTGGCCCGCCCCGCTCGCGCACCGCTCGCGCACCGCTCCGTATTTGACTTGAATGCACTTTGGCTTCGGCCTGGCTTGCTAACTGGTTTACTGCAAATTCAGTATTAGCCCAGCGCTCAATTTCACACAGAAATTAAATTACAGATGCAGCAAAGTGCAGCAGCACGCTGGATGATGGTTCCTGGTGGTGCCTGGTGGTGCCTGCTGGTGCCTGCTGGTCCCTGGTGGATGCTGGGCAAATGAGCGCACATCTCGTTAGTTTTTGCGTCTTGAAACTTTTTTAATATTTACATTCATATTTTGCACCTTTGGCTTTGGCTTTGGCTTTGGCTCGCAGCTCGTGCTCTTATTTTGTTCCAGTTATATTTTATTTTGCCGCTCGTCGTCAGAGCGTACCGTTTTTTTTTTATTGCTGGGCGGATGGGCGTGGCACGATGGCCATGCCATAAATTTGTGTTTGTGTTGAAAATTGCATTTGCGTTCACTTTGAGCAGCGGCTAAAGAAGATAGCAGCGCCAGCGGACCATGGCTCTGTGCCGGACTGTGGGCCATATTGGCCGCGCCTAAAAGCAGCCAACGTAACATTGTTAAACTGTGCGCCGCACATAATCAAGTTAACAGCGCCACAGCCCCCCCAGCACGGCCCACTGAGCTCCACAAACAGCTAGCCCAGCAGTCAAGCAGCCCAGCACTTGATTGCTATTGTTGCAGCTTTGGTGTTGCTGCTGCTGCTGCAGCACTTAAACTAAACTCAATTGCAGTTGTTGTTGTTGTTGTGAAATAAATTTTTGGTTTGAAATTTTTGATGTTTTGTTTTGGGTGTTTCGGGAGTTTTGGGTGTTTT